TTGTAAGAACTGCGCTCATTCGCCCCTTTTTTCAGAAATGCATCCAGTGTTCAGGCTTATGAGTTGTTACATGTGTACCGAAATCAATATATCTCATACACACCAATTTAATCTACCTTTACAGATATAAAGCGACTCAACATGAAAGTAATTGAAGAATTAGTTAAATAGATATAGAAAGAATAGAGAGGATGTATATTGACTCCAAGGAAAATCACCTTTCAATAATTTTCTTACAAAAAATAAGCATTGAAAAGTTTTTTTGAAAATTACGCCACAAATGCATCTAACAACGTTATATAGTAGCCGCTAAAAACGGTAAAGGAATGTTGTAAATCAATAACCAGCTCCAGCGGAAACACACTTTCAAACTGAAATGAATTAGACACACTTTATCGCCAAAACAATACGAACTGCTTTGTTTGCGAATCACAAAAATAATAACGATATGTGAAATAAAGGGTGATTATATAAGACATTTCTACCATTTACCTATTGAAGATGAGTGCAGTTGCCAAGCTTCGAAAAATTATGCTTAAAATACTAATAATAGTTGTAAACCAAGTTGGCAGTAATTCAAAAAAGGTACTTATATTTCATTCAATAGAACGAAAATGTTAAAAATATGAAAATAGATACACCAATTTCAAATAAATGCAAGTAATAAAAAAACATGTCAAATAGAAGAAACCATATTTATGTAAATAAATTAAAGGGTTAGAGAAAGCGGCTCCACAGAGGATTATATAATTCAAGAAGTCAACCTGAAAGACAGCAGGAATTGCATGGAAATCTGATCATATACAAGAACTGGTATAAGCCATATCTACCAATAATAGCATTTAACGCACTATAATGCCAAATTTCGCGCAAAAAACATTAAAGATACACATAAAAGAACGCAAAAGAAACATAATAAGTCTTCTCGACATTTATACCTGTTCCACAATCGAGTTATGAAAATAGATTATCAAAATCAACTCATATTGGTGACAAGCAGCCCTATAGACTAAAGCGAGTCTGATGCTTCAAAATTCGACTATACATATTTTTTCATTAGGATTGGTAAATTTTACCTTTAATTTTGGGAGTTTAAAAAATCGTAATAAATGTAGTAATATTTCGATGCTAACGCAATCCAAGATGCTAAATGATTTATTTCACATCTCATTATATGGAATTTACCACGGTACACAATGTATACAACAATAATTCGATAATCGGTTTGTAAAACACAAATTTAGATAGCTATTTTATTTCTGCAGTAAAAGGATAGTAATGGTAGAAAAAAGCAAAATGAAAACGTTAAAAAAGAAGCAAAAGCTAGAACGCGAAAATCAAAATCAATCCAGAATGGCAAAAGCAAGAAACGGGTCACTAATAAAAGCACAATTTAATACACCAAAATACTTCAGTGGAAAATGTTCATTTTGAATAATATAACCCATAGACAATTAGAAGGCGCCAAAATGACAAATATATGAATAAACATCTTTATAAATTAATCAAACTTTAAAACCTGCATAAGCATGAAAAAGAACATTTGTTCGCAATATGTTATGGAATAGCCGAAATATTTTTTAAAATATAGACTCGTTCAATCACAAATTTTCATTTCGACAAATAGGCAATTGGAAAAGTATATTCAAAATTATTGTCTCATCTATTCAAAAATTTTAATTTATGATGGTGAGCGTTTACCTTGAAGTTCACAGTCAACGCGAGCGAGTATTACGTTTGCATTATTGAAGATAGTGGCATTGCTATTACTAGTCTCTTCAAAAGTAGGCGTTAATTCGCGGCTAAAGCGACACCATTCGGCATAGAAATTAACAAGAACAAAGTCGTTGTTCGTCACTACATATTGAAAATTTTCTTCATTAAGGTTAAAAACCTCTGACCACGCATTGTTTGAAGAAAATATCTAAATTAACAAATAAAAAATGAAGTATAAGACATCACACCTATTAAAGAATTTTAACTAAAATAAATCATGCTAAGGCATTTAAACAAATAATAACTTACTAAAATAGTGACTATGCCCCACCAAAGCCTCATTTCTAGTAATTAAAGCCGCCAGCTATAGTTGTAGAATGCGGGCTTATACGTTATCTTATGTAGTTTGTTATAACAAAAGATCAATATCAACTTTAGTTTCATGAATATATAATGTTTAAAAATATATAACCATAGCTGTTTTGATTCAGTTTTTTGATATCATATTATCAAGTAATCTGAAATCACGAGAATGAACAATCTACTTGATAATATAACTTTTAAGCACTCTTTACTTGAATGTCTTCTTTATTTCACAGCTATTTAAGTTATTTGCATTCTTTATAATATACAACTTCTCATTTAGTCATGTCGACTTCACTACTTAGATTTATAACAACACAACTGATTAAAAAAATAATACATAACTCATACCCAAAAATGTGTTTTAATTGAGACATTGTTAAATTCCTTTTAATTTAATCGATTTTCAAAACTAGTATAATGTAATGTTAACCATGGCCGTATAGAAGAAATAGTTCAATATACTCAATCCATTGTAACCATTTAAATTTTGCATGGAAAACTACCAATTTAATTAATAAAAACTGCTTTAAATACATATATTTCGTTTTGAAATGCCTGTAATTTTTATCGTGAGTTCTATGCAACGGTTTAGTTGTCAGTTATATAAATGCAATTGTGACACAGGTAAATAAGTATCGAATTGCTCGTGCTGATATTCATCAGACACCTTTTCCAATCTTCTACCAATCCTTACTAGAGCAATGAATAAGACCAAGAAGGAAATTAACGCCACTGAGATTAGTCTATATTGGTCACTTTGGGGATTATGACCAGAAGCGCTGGATTAATCATTGGTTAGGGCTGGCGTGGCGAAAAATATGCGATAGAGAGAGCAATTTGTGGAATCTTGGTAACCAGATAGAATCAAAGTATCATAGCCTCTTGACAAGCCATATAGCACTGTTCCGCATTGTAAACAGAGCCGAAAATTTGTGATTTGATGTAGTTTGTTCGTTTTCTATATGTATATGAGCACTTGATTGGTAAGAGAGAAGGAGCTTAAAATTTGCCTTTATTTCTTTTCACATTCTGCCTCTCACATTTTCTGTGATAATCGATGACCCAACACAAATAGTCTTCAGATATTTTTCAACAATCTGTTATTCCCTTTGTTTTCAGTGCATTTCGTAGATAACGATGCATCTCACTTTCACTACTTTCTAGATGACATTTTCTCTAGTTCGCATACTGAACTTAACTGTTAAGTCATAAAATTTGTCAATATAAAAGGGTTGATTTCTCAGCATGAAAAGATCACTGCTAACGATCTCAAAAGTGTTATTTCAACAGATTTATAACAAACCTAACAATAAAGAAATTAAAGTAATGAAGCCTTTTATATCAATATACGTACGAGCATGCAAGTCAGCAAGATTACTTACACTTAAAACAGCAAGTTATAGGATAAAAGACCATTTTATTCGATTCAAATCGTATAACAAAATGTGTAGCAAAGTAAGAAAGGCATATTTAAATGAAAGAATTTGAGCATTTTCGTGGAAGCATAGAACTCAGACACATGGCCAATTTTTAAACGAAAAGGAATGAAAAAAGACGGAATTCGATGCTGATGAACAATTCATTTTAGTTTCGGCGATGGATGCTGCAATATAAAAAAATAATAGGTTACACACTTCGTAAAAAAGAACTTACTCATATTCCCAGGGGTTTTAAACAAATAAATTTAAAAAATTGCATAGATTTCCGATAACTTTGGCAGGTTCGACAAGAAAAAGCCATCAATTAAAACGAATTTAATGGTCGAGGGAATTAGCTTTTTGCCAAAATAAATTTATACGACTTTATCTCCTGTTTAATTCGGCCTTTTGCTCCGGAACCTGGAGCAAACTGATTTGACACTCCGCCCCTTTGGAAAATTTTGTTGCCTTTCGTAGTACTGGTAGACGATAAGTGTCTTTCTCAATAGTGCCCACTACATGAATTATAGTCCAAGATACATTGATCGGCAATCAATTTTGAGTTTTGTCTGAGGTGTGGCGGGCGGCAAATCCTACTCCTGCTATACACATGGTCTATTATCGGGTAGTCTCGTTCGGCATCCAGGCCTTGACTATAGCAGTCGTTAGCACTCCTAACGGGGGCATCTGAACTCCACCAAAGACCTTCTTTAAAAGATGCAGAAGAAGTCGTCACATCACGCTCGATGGGGCCGAACCGAAAATCATAACAGTTTGAGCAACTTTAGCCCACATGATTAAAGGAGTCTCCTCAGGATTTGCTTACAAACCAGGCCATTTCTTATTCTGTGTTGTGCTCTTCACACTGAGAGACGATTTTCTAATCGAAAATGGTCAGATTGTTCGTGCTTCGGTTCTACCTTCCCCCTTTGCTTCTAAGAGAAATTAACATGCCCGACGCTTGTACGAGGTTTTAGAAGCAGGAACCTCTATTGGATGCAAGCGCCTTGATGGAGACCGAAGCACTCAATTGACCTTGGTAACAAAATCCAATTTTTGATGCCTTGTGTTCCAACACACTTTTTGCAGCGGATTCTCAAGGAAACGGATTGTGAGAGTTCAATCGGATCAGATCGATTACCACGCTGTTTTCATCAAACCAGCCTCGTAATTTTCATTGCTATTCTCTCCAGCTTTGTTTTCACAGCGGCCATCACCATCTAAGTTATTCTATTTCGCGAACCTGTCGTGTTCAAGACACTCATTCGCCTTGCCAACGCGTATATGAATGAAGAATGGTGTAAACTTTAAAGGCGTCTGCGTGACCACTTTTAGCACATTTGAAAAAAACCGAACATTTTTTTAAAATTAATCCCTAACACTCTGGGTATTGTATCAACATAAGACGATTGGATTGTAAGTGTTGCAATAAATGTAGCTGTGAAAACCAGCATTTAATTTGCAAAATTACCATAGAAAAGAGGATTTGACCTATAATTTTTACCTAGGTGATGTAGTCAGCATTCGAATTCCCGATGATGAATCGGAAACATTGATACAGTAGTTTCTACTTCCAGTTGCATCAGCCGCTGGATGTGCGCGATTCAAAATTTTCAGAAAATCAGCTGTTTTAGCCCGCATTCGCATCTGAAGATAGGCTTTCATGCACTTGATATGGTAGTGCATGTAGGTTCGCATGAGATGAATCAAATCTATTGTCTTTCCTCTATTGGCCATTGACGTGTGACGCGAAGAGAGCACTGAAAAAAAAACAAAATTCAAACAATTTTCTCTACTTATACTTGAAATAAGTAGGAATCATTCTCTTCCTGAATTTTTTAAAAATGGAAATGCAGTAACTCCACTAATCTTACCTTATTGTGCTTGTAATTTATAGTAGAGAAATAATTATAGTATGGAAATAATTAGCGAATTATGCTTACCGAAGGTCACATAGGCCACACTGTCCCCAGATGCTGCTCCGGTGCCTTGAAGTTCTTTGGGTGGATCTCGGTGTTGGTAGATGACCTGGGGAGCACCATCGAAACGACGCTTGACTTCAGAGAATTCCTGCAAATGAATCCATTAAAAAAACAGTTAAAAGTTATTCAATACTTAAATAGTTTAATCAGAGAAAGGGTAGTTGATATTTTAGGTAAACAAATAACCAATTTGATATGAAGCTTAGAGGTAATTTGCTGGTGATTTTTAAAGCCAACTTATTAATAACATGTAAACTTATTTCAATAGTAGTAATAATAACAATAAGTTCAAAATTGGCAAAAGTGGTCACATATTAGTAATAGTTATTTGATCTAAATGTTATAGGAAATACACGATTTGGATACCCGAGATGCATCAATTTTACTACAACCATGATCTGGTAATACAGTTCTTTCGATCTTGAGATCAAAGATTCAAAATATTTCTTAATTTTGGAATGGTACTACAATATTTTAACGAAATCAATTGCTTGAAATATTTCCTGTTGGTTTCTAGCTTTGATTAAAAGTTAGGTTTTAATTTCAAAAAGAGATTTTAATTTTTCGTATTTTGTAAACCCGCATTCCTAATTGGTCTGATAGGGAAATAAGGACTGCATAAGAAACTATTTATGATATTAGCAATTGCAAACAGTGTAATTAAACAAGAAAATTCGTTTTGGACCAGAATTGGTCAGAAACGTAAGTCTGTTTAAAATCGGTGTTATAAAATGCAGAAGCAATGGAATAAGGACTAAATTCTCGGAAACCAAAATTGCTGATAGACCGGCATTCACTTAAGATACTGCGTGGAATTCTCGTTAGAGTTAAGTTCAAAAAAAACGATGAACAGGACCGACTAAGCACACTATTGACGTTACTTTCCATGACCTGTGGTTTAAAGCAAAACAAATTCCTATTTGAGTTAAATACAATGAGATAATTAGAGCCAATTGAATAAGATACTAATTTTGACTAACGTTGGGATCCAATGATTTAATTTAGTCCTCTTTTACACTTCACATAAACAAAGCTGAATGGAGTCAGATGAACTTCGAATCGGGACCAAGTGGCGAAGTGCATATCTGCCACACTAGAGGCCACACATAGAGTATAGCTTTTGATACACCACAAGGACCAATTGCATTTATTAACCCTGATCAATAAGAAGAGCGCCAGAATTCAAGTTTCTCAAAAGAAAGGCTACAGAAAACCATCCATCTACTAAGTCATGTGATGGTGGAAAGTATTTCTCTATAAGAAATGAGCCGATATGTTCTTTGCATCCAAATAGGAAAATATTTCACCATATTTTAATTGATTTGCGAGTATCAAATGCCTTAATGCAAATATTTAAAAATAAACTGTTAAAAATAAGCGCCACACAATGACGACGTTATTTTTGAATAACGAACCTGAAGGAAGACTTTTCCAAGAACGACATCATCGGCGTCCTTGAATCTTGTACTGAAGATGACAGTCACTCTGTCAGACATTGCCTGGACAAACCTAAAAAAAGCGTAAAAAATACCTCACTTTTGTAACAGCTGATCTCATTTTAAATAGAGGCTTAGAAACAAATCACATCGGTTCCGCTAGATCTGTAATCATTATCGATATTACAAGAGCAATTCTTTAAGACAATTATGATCTTCAACCAACATTCAATTAACGTAAATAACAATAGCAAATCGTTTTAAACCACTCCCAATTTCATTTCCATATGGTATTAGAAAGTTCCTGTTTTGATTTATGCACACCAGCCCCGACACTTTCTCTTTCCATATTTGCAATGCGTATCAACAATGTACCGTTTTAGGAACAGAAAATCGATTTATTATGATATTTTTGACAATCAAATACCAACAGTACGTGGGATCCTTTAAAAATTAGCCACCAGAACAGACTCAATTAGAACCGCTCATGAAAAGGTGGCCAATTATTTAATCCACTTATATTTACACCTATAGTTAAATATATTTAACTGTCTAAACGAGTTAGATGATTTGCCTACTAATAATAATGTCCAAAATTAGCAAATGAATTCAGAAGAAGCCAGTCAATTGGCGGATGGCCATAAACTACTGCATTTCATCTACAGAAAAGTGCACATATAAACAATTTACAGAAAGAGCCTTACAGTGTAATAGTGATTTCTAAAGATGGATACTCACTCAAAATTGAGATCCGAAAAAAAGATAGTACTTATTGTTCGACCGAACACCTAATGATTCTCTATATGCATTCACATTTTATTCAGGCAATAGTGCAAAAATACATAAAAATGGCAGCACCAATTAGAAATATTTAATTATGAAACTTAAAACATTATATTATAATTTGATAAGCCGTTAATCTAGCTAGAGATTTAAAAACAATATGCACAAACTTACATAGTCTCATCAGATCTGAAGTGAATGGTGCCTTGGATAGTTTTAGCAGAAGAATTGCTCGCATTAGCAACTTGGTAGTCAAAAAAGTACTCGAATACGCTGGCAAAGCAATTTCTTCGAAGAAGTGCAGCCTTGGTTGCAATCGATTCAATATTATCAGGCAATTTTTTACAATCGAATTCTAGGGTTACATTACATCCAGAGTCTGCAATAGGTTTTAGATATTCTCCGTATTCCCGTGAAAGCAACTTTGAATCCCCAAACTGCTCGATTTCTTTAAAGAAAGAGAGTGAAATACTGACAGAAAGAATATTGCTCCCGTCCTCTTGAACAATCGAATATAGAACACCATCAAAATCAGCCACTTTGGCAAACAACTTAGATGGTTTAGTAGCTCTAAAAAATAAATATTATCTACGATAAAATGTCAAATAAGAATGTTAAAATAACAAATAAAGCATAATTTACGAATCGGGATTTTGTTGACGTTCCCTGTATGCTTTAAGCTGCGCAAGAATAATTTCTTTTACAGCGAGATGAAATGGCTCAATAAGTATCATAATTTAGTAATGGCGAAAAAATATTGTCACAATTTGCCACAATTTCCGCGGAAATTGGTGTTCAAAAAGTTACTTGATTACATGGAGTAGATAAACAAATATTTCAATTAATATCTTTAAATTGCGCGAAGTGGAACCGTATAGTTTTTTATAATGATCATACTTGTCTTATTACTTAACTGTACTTGCTTTTATAAAAATGAAAACAAAGAACGTAATTTTTGTGTTAGAAAAACGTAAGCATAGTCAACGGCGTAATAGTTTCTTTTTCTTATTATTTTTAATAAGTTAACTTAGATTATATAAAAAATAATGAAACTTTGCTGGAAACATGTCATTGAACGCAAATATGTGCAAAATATGCTTGTTCATGATCATCCGAAACTTTTATGATGGAAAATAAAATTTTGAACAAATATTCAATTGATGAACTGTATATTGTGAAAAATTATATATTATTTTAAATTTAAATGAATTTCGACAAATATCCTGCAAAAATTATCAATGATGTCGTTTACAACGAAGAAATATTCAAATCCGATAACATTTGTTCTTCAAAATCTTCATAATATATGTTTCCTGCACTGTATTGTAAAAATAGTCCAAATAATTATTGAGCATGCTAATCAATCTGAATATATTCTACTATTTATATAAGACGAAAATCAATTTAAATTGTCATATTCGTAAAAAAATTTTATTATCGCATTTTTTATGAGTTTTAATATCTAAAAATCTATTTTATCATGGTATACATTTGGTCTAAATTAAACGAAAATTGTATTTTATTAGTTATTCACTCGGACCAAATTTATTTGAAGACCTTGATGTTTTTTTGAATTCTTGCTACTGCTGTCTTGCGCGGAAAGCAGTTAAGAATTTTAACGATGATAAAAGGTATAGATAATACGAAGGCAAACAGCTGCCCCAAAATTTAAAAATTTATAACTACCAAATTTTAGTCTTTTAAATGACAATTTATGCTTACTAGATATTTATATTTAATTAATTTTCATGATTTTAACCTAAAGTTTATTTTTTCCTAATTATCTCTTTCTGATTTTTACATTTCAAAATTCTTTCCATTTAAGTGAATATCTATTTTTAAAGTTTTAATTATTCTCATCATGACTCGGTTTTTTCATGAACTAAATTCAGATACACCGATTTTGAACTTTGGAATTTCAACAAATAGTTCAACTCATTCTAATGCCTCTCAAAGTGATCATATTTTTTCTGGAATTACCTCTGTCTTTCTCACTCAATACGTCGTTATCATTTTGGGTCTCTTTGTTGGCCATTTCAAATTACTATCAAAAGCGCAAACTAGGAAACTAGGCAAATTCCTGCATTGGTATGCCCTCCCAGCGATTCTCTTCATGGTATGCATTGTTTTATTATATTTATTAACTAAGATTTTTCTGTGTGCTATTATTTAATTTTTATCTTATCGCTATCAATGAAAATATTTAAAAAAAGATATTTGGAATTAAACTTTACTTGAGTTCATGTTTAATATTTCCCTTACACTGATAAATTTTCCTACCTGATTTATTCCATTCAGTAATCATAAAAAATTTCTTTTCGCTTTATTTCTTATTTTGCTGTCAGCCTTTGTTTCGACAATTTTATAAACTTAAGTTTGTCCGATGCTACTATCGACCATTTATGAACGCGATAATAGCACTTTCTATGATAGCATGACTAAAGTGATTATTTTCAGGAGCACTCATTTTCTTTCAATTCAGCAGCTCTCTTGTGACATAGGGTGGTTGCATAATTATTTTTTCCAAAGCTAATTCCCGCCAGTTGAACTTCTCCTATTCTCGTGCCATTTTAATTGCTTTCTCATGTCATGGCGCCAAATTTTACCTTCTGAATAAACCTGACTTCTCAAATATATTTATTTTCGGTGCATTAATAAATGCACCTTGTTATCGTGTTGCTTCTTTGAATTATGAATCACATTGTTTGCGCGATTTCTAACCGCTTACGAATACTTTATTCGAGAATACGTTGTGTAATATGGTCCATTATGTAGAAATCCTAACTGTCTTTCTAATTATTGTTTTTTATTCGCCTTTGGCATTTATCTTACTCACTGATGTCAGAATTAGCACTCGATTATGTAATTCGTCATAGTTTATCCGAAATATTTCATTTAAAAGCAATCAATACTTTTCTGTTAATGTCTCCATTTCAATCTTTTTCCTTTGATTTACTTATGCCAACTTATTAAAATGGAGATCACTGGTCATTCGCGTAACAAAAAATTCATTTACTTTTAAACTTGGAAGTCTTTAGTTGTCTTTGGGAATTCAGCTTAATCTTAAACTGGAAAGGTCAATATATATATATATATATATATATATATATACATATATATATTCCTTTTCGAGCTTTCCCCTACTATTTCCAGTATCAATGAAATTTTGTGTTAAATTTTAATTCATTGGATAGACAATGATCAAGCAAATGGCAAGATAATTTTAAATTCTAAGCCAACAGATGGGTTATATGGCGTAAATGAAAAACCTAAAGTATCATGAGTCTCGTTTGCAATATCTGTCCAATGTTCTAGAACCTACATTTCAAAAATCTGATTCCAATTTCTGTATAAAATCGTATCTTCAATAATAGAATAGATTTTATAAAATGATTTTTAATGTCCATTTCATCGCATTGTACCTGCTTGCTTTCATAGACAAACCGATGAGAAGCATTTCGAACATAACGGAGCTCACTTTTGAATTGTGCAATAATGGAGGCCACTAACAAATAAACCATTTAGTTGAAGAAAATTCTCATCGCTACTAACTGAATTTTTCTTTAACTCTCAATTGTAATTTTTGCGTAAATTCCAATGACCTTTTTTACCTTTTAACTCCCATACAGACAATTGATATCGAATCAAATATGCAACTCTGTAACGACCACCTGGTCTGTATTGGTGTGTGCGTGTAGGTTATTATTATCTTCTACCTACGTCAAGATTTGTACCGTTTATATCCTCCTTCATGGAAGTTGTGAATAAGTTGGGAACGCTGTGAAAGAACTAAAATTCCTGCAAGTAATATTAATTATCAAGCAATCAAGTGTGTTTATGTTAATAAGCAATAGCTTGGCAAACGAAGTCATATATACCATCTCCTGCACTATATGTGGATGCATAATGAACGCACTTTGAGCATTTCAAAATATTTATTTGTTAAGTAAAATAATTTGGTAGGGATTCTCACTTGAGTGCAGAAATCGATAACTTTCCAACCTCCCCTCCCCTCCCCTCCATTTTTCAACTAAGTTCTTCATAAATGCATGCTCGTGGTACGCGTCAATTCCGAATAAATTAAAAACAGTGTTAGCTCTCTACCTGATTTAATAAGCTCTAAATAATGGTAAGGTTAGTATTAATCAATTAAAAAATACTCAATGAAAAAATCTGTTTAATTTTTATTATATATTGCTGATGGTAGATGACGAGAATTCCATTTAAATTGGACTTAATTACACTCTAATTTCTACCCGGGGTGATTACCATTAAAGAGTATGGTAATATTAAAAGTCGAATTTCTCGCGAAATCCATATCAATTTAATTTATTTATTAGTATAGTTAAAGGCAATTAAGTAAGTTTAGTAAACGAATAACCATGGGGTAATTGATGTGATTTATGGCATTCACCCAGATAAAGTTCGTGTCTTCGAACTCTTTGAACTTTTACTTATAGTGCAGTTGATAAGTTTCATTAACTAGAGTCCTTGCAAACAGCTTAATGAGCTAAAAAACAGTCCATAATTAGTCAGTTCCTACCCAGAAACATTATCATAACAACCAAAAATGTGAAGGTAAAATGCGAGTTTCTTACAAGAGAGGCTAATAAACCGGCCATCTTCTTAAGTTGAAAATTGTTGCTTTTCGTGATGAGGTTGGAAAGTAAGATGTTGTTTAGAGCAATTAACTTTATTAAAATGGACACTTTAGATCAGTTAGTTGCTATCACTCATGGCAATGTGAAAAATCTATATACTTAACATATTAGCGGATACTTATTTGTGTGAGAAACTGTAAAATGTTTTGAAGGGGGGGGGGTTGGTGAGTTGAGAAATAGACTAAATTTTGAACATTTAAAATGTAATTCATTTAGATTCCAGTTTTATTAGTAATGATACAGTCGCACTCTATCGTTCCAAACATATAGATTGCGCCATTCAATGCGTATCTAAGAGAGTCTTTGCCAGTAATATTTTAACCATATTATTTTTAGTAAAATTAGTGACACCTACGGAATTCATATGTTCTTCATTGTGGCTAAAACAATTAGACGAAACTGTCAAAAGAGAGGCGATTTTAGGCTGTTATAATTTTGTAAGTAGGTAATTTGAAAGGGAATTTTTATTTGCCACTTCTAAATGAAGTTCTTGATGCCATTTTCAAAAGTTTCTTCAGGCCAAATATTTACCCGACTTAAATTAAATTAAGAACCAGCACATTCATCAGATAAAGACCTCTTGTAACAAATATTATTATTATTATATCAAATGGCAGGTGTCTTGATGGTTATCATTAGCCCTTTAGTTGACTTCAGGCTTTACAGAGAGGAAGATACATCAAATTGAAAAAAGTCGAGAGGGGAGGGGGAACAGTAGTGTTTCAAAGATGTAAAAGAGACAGACACAAAGGTAGAAAAAAGGTGAAATGAGTACTATGGAAGTAGTCGAATATGACATATAGTGAGGTGATGGTAGTTTGAAGTCAGAAGTCAACTGCCGGTTTGTAGACTTTTTTGCCGTATGAGTATACGTTGCTCAGGGTGCACCACGTGAAGGTAAGTCTATCGCACACCCTTATAACAAATATAATATGGTATGTAGAGCAAGTAAGGTAGTTGTAAACAAGGTTCAAATTGTATGGACATGTGTTATATTTCAGAAGTTCTTTTTTAATTTGACGCAAATTAAATGTCACTATTTTCCCGGAGCACATATTTTCATCTGATTTTAA